AGCTATGATGCTTCTGACTAAGAACTCAACCTGAGAGCTCTTTTATTGGATGTGTATTGGGTGTGTCCCGACCGGCCGCAGCAGGACCTGAGCAGCCACTTCCACTTGGCCTGATGCTCCCGTATTGCAACGGGTTACAGGGCGGCACAACTCGCCCCAGCGAGTTACCAGTGTTGACTGGCCGTTGCCACCAATCCTTTGGGCCACTGAAAGTGACGGCAACGGGAATAGAACCCAGCACCAACCCGGCGCCGCTCAGGCATGAAACCTACTGAGCTAGCCGACGGGACTCGCTCTGCTAGACAGGGGTTACCCTGATGCAGACTACCATCTTCCCCCCAGTAGAAGGTATGGCAATCAATCATAGTTGTATTTAGGGCACCTTGCAGTCTAGATACAGCCATAATGACCGCACCCTCCATTCAGGTCCCGGTGAAGACAGTAGCAGTCAGAATCCCCTGTCGCATTGGTGCCAAACCTGCAGAAGCAGGCAAACAACTGACAGACACGTGAGGCTGAGGGTCCCGGTTCGAGGCCGTGCGTGCACGGCGGGGCCTGATGCCCTAAAATACACGTTGTTCAGTAACTACTCTGGGGCTATTTTGATTTTAACTTTTCTCCACGGGGCATATGCGTTGTAAACGAATACAACGGAATTGAACAGATAGGTTGCTTTTTCTATATCTATAAAAATACAGCGCACATGCGTTTCTATTCTATTCGAACAGCCCTTCTATTCGAATACAACGCACATGCGTTTTTCTATTCAAATACAGCGCACATGCGTTTCTATTCTATTCGAACAGCCCTTCTATTCGAATACAACGCACATGCATTCTATTCGAAAAGCCCTTCTATTCGAATACAATGCACATGCGTTTCTATTCGAACCATCGATTTTTTTTCCGAAAACGCAAAGACAACCTATGCGTTATGGTCAATGAAGACGGTATTAAGACTACTACCCTCTTCCCCCGAACATAATGCACCCTGCTTATGAGTGTATACAAGCCGCCTGTAAGGTCAGATACAGTCGTGATGAAGGTCCGCTGTATTCCGGGGGGCACGATGGTGGGCAGCCGAGCCAAGTCAGCCTTCTGGGAATGTCATCTGGCTGGAATGACGTCTCCATTCATGTCAGAGTCTGAGTCGATGGCAAGCGACCAGTTATCACCACCTCCCTGTTGACAGCAGGGTATGCCAAGAAGACAACGCATCTGGCTGGACTGACTGTCTCCATCCTTGTCTGCGTTGAAGACAAGCCACCCAAGCATGCAGAACCATATATACCCCCCACCCGCTTGTGACAGCACGACAGCAGAAGGCCTCATGCACCAGAGCCATCTCCTGTTCATGACTTCAACATGAATTGAATCGCAAGGCGAGCAAGCAGTTTACAAGGACCACACACAACCTAAATGAGAGTCCATCCTGTACCCCACAGCAGCTCTCTCTCTCTCTCTCTCTCTCTCTCTCTCTCTCTCTCTCTCTCTCTCTCTCTCTCTCTGTGTGT